AACAGTAGACTTGACTATGTCACACTGAACATTAATATGCTGATATGAAGTGAGTATCTGATATATCTTATAGCTCAAATAGCGAGTTGTTGTGTATTAATACTATAGTTCTTATTTTTAACCATCATATATGTCTGCTGCTGGCTATAGTACCGGCTTGGCAGCACTGAAAGGGTGCATAAACTTCATGCCGTTATCTCTCCAGAAGATATGTAGCAAACTGAGCTAAAGTGGGTCTAACCAATGCTGTATCTTTATGTGTTATACCGTCCTTATGGATCACCATGAAACTGCATCTGCGACAATGGAAAGGAATATAGTAGAGAGATGACTAATTAACCCCTGTCAGTGGGGTTCAGATTGCTGAATGATTAGAATTGCGCCTTGTACTCATCCTCTATAGCTATACTGTCTACAACTAACCAAAAGGCAGTCTGATTAATTTGGATACCTCGGTATTTCAGCACTATATGTGCATGTCCCTAGGTAATCTAAGCCATCTATATTGTGACTATATTCTTGTAGTTATTTTAATCATACTTGAAGACCCCATATATAACTTTGAGTATAAAATGGATGCTCTTGTAAGATTTTCAAAGAGTACGACAGTCACTAAGAAAAAACAAAACAAAACAAAAAAACATTACTGTACTGATAGATGTCTAGCACCTAATGTTTTATCACCATCAAGTTATAAAATATATATTTGTGGGTCTGTGCAACATAGTATGGAAATAAACATTTAGGTCCATATCTATTGTAAAATTCTGAAGTTCTACTTAGGACTGGAATAACCTAACAATGGGAGGACACTAGACAGTAGATACAACAGTGAACAATATCAATAAGGAAAACAGCGTCACCAATTGTGCTGCGGGCGCATCGAGTGATCACTAAAAAATAGAAAAGTACTTACAAATTTCTATAATAAATCTAGTTTACATAACATAAAGATACTGAGCTATATACATATATACAGTGCTGACTCTAAAGTAGGCTTATTCAGGAATAAATGAAGCGTATGAAAAACCTTCATTCAGGTCACGTGGAGTGAGCGTCTTAAGTTTAAAGATCCAAAAACTATTGCGTTGTAAGAGTATCTTATTAAGGTCACTCCTTCTTGGACCAAGGTTGAACGTGAGCAATGAAGTCCCTGATGGAACCATGTGGAGCAGAGACCACATTGGGAAGTCTGTGGATCCTTCCCAACAGCACCTGTGCTAGCTCCCAGTTAGGCAGGAGCCCTAGCAGAATGTCCTTGACAAAATCTGCCAGATATCGGGCCTTAATCTCCTTAGGTATCCCTCTGATGCAGTGGTTGTTCCTCCTGGACTTCCAGGACTTGGCACAAGACATGTTGGTATGGATTCAGGGCATGAAATGATATAAGTACAGGGAGAAAAGCTGACCAATGCTGAGCACCATCAGTGTACCGACTCCACCTCTTGACACAGAAATGTCAAAGTGTTATTTACTAAGATGAGAATTCAACATTAATTTCAAATTTAGGTCGAAATAGCTGAACTGGAAAAATACTGTAATGCTTTCAGTTTAACTTCTCTGGCTTTTAACTTGGAATTCACTTGGAATTCGTACTTGAATAACTTACCATGCACAAGACACTTGATGAGAGGGATACAATTTTAGGCTTGCTATCTTAAAGGGATACCCAGACCCCTAAAGCACTTTAGTTTGCTGAAGTGCTCTATGTGTGAAGAATATGCCTTCTTTTTTATAAATGAATAATGTTACACACCCCTGGCTGTCCACCAGACACTCAATCCTGTTACTTCTTGGTTTGTTTAGCACAGTGGAGTTAAACTCAAGGGGGCAATGTTTTAAACTTTTTTCCATTTTAACAGTGGAATGATCCGTTAAGTTTCAACCCATGCTCAACAAAGTTTTTCCCTCACTTTGACAAATCAAGAGAATCTGTATTGTCTATTGTACATTGTTTGATGCACAAACATTTCTAATTTTAGAAAAGCTGGAATAATAGCCAAGTTAAAGAATTTATGCAATTCAGTTAGTTTGGCCAAAACTTTGCAGTTCCCTTGATGATTCTCCAAAACCCTTGATTTGATGGATAACTATGCATGGCTCTAACAAAGTCTAACAAAGAAATCTCAAAATATCACAATGATAAATCTTGCTCAATAAGAACAATTTGGAATAAAATGAAAAAGTGCAGAAACTGTGAATGTTTTCTATAAGGCATGAAAGAGTTTCAATCAAATATTATAAATACAAAAAAAATAGCAATTAATTCCCAAACTCACAAATATCAGATTGTAGTCGTAGAGTTATACTTAACTAAACAATCTGCCTGATGTTTTTAGTGAGGCAAACCTCTAATTTACAATGATCGAATCTAAATAATACGAATTGTGATGCAAGTGAGAAGAAAGGATAACTAGGAATTCAAAAGATAACAAAGTTCAAAAAAATCTTTTAAAAAAACAAACAAATACAGATATTAAGTAAAAAAAATATATTTATTACGTTTTTTTGTGTCTTGAATTCGCCTATATTTTGATTCAGTTGATAGTTTTGAACGGGTAAATCAACCATTACTTTTCATTATAATTTAACTGTGAACCAGAGTTATAATTTATGAGAAATACAGAAATTGATCAGGCACTCTGCTGCAGATATTTTTTTATTAGGTGGATGAGCAGACAATCTAGATGAATGTTACTTGGCACTAAGTGACAATAAGTTGCCTTATGCAATTCACTAAATGATGGATGACAAACCTTATTGTTCTACAGATGCTTAACTTACTGTTGTGCATTATAATTTTGAAGAAGCCATCTGATTTCTGCTGATTAGTATGCTGGGCAGATACAGACACATTGCAGGGACCGGGAAAGCAGAGTAGGTTTATTTTTTCCTGTTATTTGTTGTTTGACAGGTTTGACTACAAGGGCCATTCATAATGGCAAACCAAATTTGTTGAGGTCTGTGCTTTGACTTCTGCTGTTAAAAAAAAAGCTGGCTTTGGTTCAAAAACATTAGCATACCACAAGAAATAACATAAAACAGAAATATAGAAAAAAAAATCGCACACGATTACAGAATGTTTGCTTTAGATATTATATAGGTTGGGACACAAGAGAATAACTGATCTTCAGCAGAAATCATGGTTTATACAATATCCAGAAACGCCATGAAAGATTGTGAAATCACATTGTAATTGGGGGGGAATGTTCAAACAATATATCGAAGAACATCTGCTGATGGGTTTATGTAATTTTCCAGTCAATTTGTTCTGTCAAGAAGATAAAGTGGTTTACAACTTTGAAGAGCTCAATAATATGGGTGAGAAAAAATAAACTGACTCATGACCAGAAAAGCACAACCTGTGTTTAGTTCACATTTATTCTCCAGTGTGGCTTCATGGCTTTACTGTAATCTGAAAATGTATAATTATGTTTTATCTTTCTAAATTCTGTTTGAAACACACTGTGTTGTTATAATTCTTTGAAGAGAAATATAACAGGATGGTGTGTTGATTTTGATTAATTATAGTGATGTCAACACTCTTGCTTGTTAGTGAGAAAAGGAATAGCGACAGGCAGGATGTAGGGAGGGAGGTGGGCCATCATGTCTCCCCTTGGTTACTGTCTACGGTGCAATTCTTCATCATAGGTGATTATATCCCTGTACACCCAGTTCCATAAACACACTATTGTGACATAGTTGGCTTGTCATATCTTTCATAAAAACAAACTGCTAAAACCTTTCATTTCACTTTCAAGAACTTTAATATATGTTTTCCTTTATCATTTCTCATTGTCTTTGCCTCTCAAAAGTACAAGTAAAAAGGTCGTAGTACATTTAATAACAAGTAAAAACATCATTACTAAAGTTATTTTGCCCTAACTGGAATATCGCTACTTGACAGCTTGCACCTTGCTAAATTCGATTATTATTGTATTTTTTGACACAAAATTATATTTTGGTTATGTACAGAGCATGATTTTATTAAACACAGATGGTTAATAGGCTCAGAGAAAGCACACATATTACATCACCCTACTCACCACAGTAATCACCTCAGACAGGGACTTTGGGTTACCATTGTTTAAGATGGGGTCATGGGAACCATCATTTTTTTAAAACTATTTTTTATCTTACCGTGCATTGGTTTTCTTGGATTTTTGGAAGGGTCAAGAACAAGAACGTATTTCTATTTGTGGAGATCATATGGATCCACACTTAATATGATTTATTTTACATTCTTAACAGTTTCTTTTGTATGCTTCTTCATGCTAGGACGTCAAGAAATCTGACCATATATTGCTGACTTTAAAACCTGACAGTAGCCTGTGATAATTAGCCCTTACTAAATGGTCAACTTGCCAATAGAAGCCAGTCAGTTAGTTTGTATGATGTACCCTACTTGAACCACTCTAGATAGTTTAAAGTCACCTTCTGGGGTCTTTGCATAATATTTGACACAAAATGACATGATAATTTGCTGATTGGTGTTCAGGGGAAGTTAAGTTTTACTTACCTTGTCCCTCTGTATCTGTTGGATCATCTTTGCTCCTGGTGCTTCTTCCGCCAGGATCCTTTGTCAGTGCTGTAGTGTTCACAAGCATGCACAAGAGTGTAGCACTGTGGGCTATGGAGGATCCTGCAAGACTTCGGGAGCCTCTATGAATATTGTCTTGAGATAAGTGATGAAGTGATAAAAATTGACAAAAACTAGCTGTACCTTTTGTCATGTTTTGTCAAGAAGTGAAAAAATACATAAGGCAAAAAAGGCATTTCTTTGTCTTCTGTATTTTCCAAGAAAAAAATGATCCTGGAACTCAAAAGGACCACATGAAAAAGCGAGCCGGAATTTGAATAAATAACACTTTTAAAGGTATGCTATGTATTTATATCTTTCTCTTTTAATATATGTTTTTTTTTTTTTTTTTAATAAACACTACATTTGATTGGGTTAGAACTTTGTGAGCAGCTTCTCCCAATGATACATTCACCTAACTGGACAGTGTTAGCAGGTGAATCCACCCTTTGCAATGGGAGAAATAGATTGAAACAGAGGACAAGAAGAACAGATTAAGAGTAAGGAGGAGAAAATGAATGGGTTGAAATAAGCTAAATATAGAATGACAGAGTTGCTTTAGTTGGGCTGCAAAATGAACCTTTACAACCATCCTGACTTTAATGGTGCTTGCATTATTAAGGCTTGAACGAGCTGAAACGTCACACTGCTGAGGTAACTAAGTCTCTAATAAATATAGTTACCACTTGTATCCTGGAGTGTTGCCCATTCTTCTGTTCTTCTGGTACTTTGATGGATTGGTAGTGTCCGTTATTACACAGAGCATCTCCAGAGATAGTGGCTGTATCGTAAGGTGGATCCAGAGTGCAGGGTGCTTTGTTTCTGGTTACCGCTTTAATGAAAATAAATGCCACCCAACTTTAGAACTTGGATCTATGTGCATAAGTCCTATTATCATCATTTTAACACAACTATGTTACAGAACGAATCTTAGTTCATTTTTAAGAGTTGTCTTGCAAACCTTAGTAAATACAATATAAATAAGTTAGCAATCAGACTCAACTCAACATACAAAATTGTTTAAAGCAGTTCAGCAGGGTATATATAATTCATACATTGAGACATAGATAGCTAGATAACTCCAAGGTATTAATTTAGCATTAACTTCAATTCTGTCATCTAACTGTTAAATCCTTACCTCACAACCCTGGGTTTAGAGATTGTTTAAAGCATAGTTTGTGCTAACAAAAAGTGACTGTACGTACCAACATTTTCTATACAGCCATATTATTTTCTATTCTGATAAAGTTTTAGTAAGTTTATATCCCCCAAATGCAGCAGGTTTCTTTTAAATATCTATAAACATGGCAATTTATGTTTAACCCCTTAGTGACCAGACCGTTTTTCAATTTTCTTACTGTTAAGTACCAGGCCTGTTTTTACATTTCAGCGTTGTTTGTGTTTAGCAGTAATTCTCCTCTTATTCATTTACTGTACCCACACATATTATATACTGTTTTTCTCGTCATTTAATGGTCTTTCTAAAGATACCATTATTTTCATCATATCATTTACTATAAAAAAACAAACAAAAAAACACACTTTTCTAACTTTGACCCCCAAAATCTGTTACTGTTATCCATCGTAAATCTCTGAATCACACCTCACATGTACATATTTTTTTTTTTAAAGTAGACCACCCTATATTTTGCCAATAGGCAAATTGTTGTGGAAGTCCAAACTTTTAAATCATAGACTTAAAATAACATGTATTGACAGTGGCTGCAGAAGTTAATGAATGAATCAAAAGAGTGATTTTTGTTCTGTGTTGATATATATGACACTGAATCACTAATTTTATTTATTAACTTTTATGTAATGTAGTAACTAATGCTAGCCATAAAAAACATAGATTATGACATATTTATGACTACAGCAGTCAGTGTAAACAAAAGCATGCAAATCATTTTATTGTAGGGAAAACAAAAGCACAATGACATACTGTGTTTGTGTCAAAAATAATTTACAACATGTAAAATAAATCTGGCTACAAATAGATACAATCCATTTAAGAATAAATTGTCTTCCTCTGCTAATTGTAATTTCCTTGCTAAATTATCTAAACAGATCATGATCATCACTTATTTATATCTATTATGCAATACTATGAAGTTTATATGAGCAAATTACATTATTTCTGACTTATGACATGATATCAAAATATTAGATACCAAAACGTGTCAAAATGCTTGTGTTGAACGTACAAATAAACTGTCTATGTTATCAGTAATTAATTGAAATATTAATACTTGCATTAATACAAATATTATTATTTATAGAGCCCTATAGAACACTTTACAATTCTGCAACAATTTACAAATTATAGAAAGTTTGTATTCTAATACTTTAGATTTTTTAGATTTATTAAATTTAGATGGGGCTACATGAAAAAAAACGAAACTATATTTTAAAGATCATGAAGTTCATTTTTGAAGTCACCATACATGTTACTATGAGTGTCATAAAATTACTTTCTGAGTTTTGTTAAAAATGTTTTGTGACATGACTAGTATCCTGCTGCAAGTAGGCAATAGCATATAAAGATTCAGACATAGTAACCAAAAAAAACCAAGGTAGTCAATGGGCTTGGACCTATTGCAATACATTTGCTTGCAGCTTCAGGTGCAATACCCCCTTTGTTAATCTGGTCCTGAGGTCAATGTTTGCAAGAAAATGTTCCACACATCACACACATCATTACATCACCACTGCAAACCTGAACTGCTAGGAAGGATCTATGGATTCATGCTGTCTATACCAAACTCAGAATCTATTTGTCTGCAACAGCAGAATACAATTTGTTTCTAATCAGTTATGGTCCATATTTCATGCACATGTAACTACCCTAACCACGATCTCCTTTTATTAGCCAGCATTAGTGAAAAATGGTATGGTCGTCTGCTGCTATGTCCACTTCAAGATTCGACATGGGCATTTATAAATATTTTTTGAATAGCAGTGTTAAAATGTATATTTACCATGAGATGTCTGTTTTCTAATAATGACGATGTTACTCATTTTGGCCTATTTTACGGACTTAAGAAATGAAGAATTTAGACGATAAGATATCTGATGGTAAGTATATACACTGCTTTAAAAAAATAAAGGGAACACTTAAACAACACAATGTAACTCCAAGTCAATCACACGTCTGTGAAATCAAACTGTCCACTTAGGAAGCAACACTGAGTGGCAATCAATTTCACATGCTGTTGTGCAAATGGGATAGACAACAGGTGGAAATTATAAGCAATTAGCAAGACACCTCCATTAAAGGAGTGGTTCTGCAGGTGGTGACCACAGACCACTTCTCAGTTCCTATGTTTCCTGGCTGATGTTTTGGTCACTTTTAAATGCTGGCAGTGCTCTCACTCTAGTGGTAGCATGAGAAGGAGTCTACAACCAACACAAGTGGCTCAGGTAGTGCAGCTCATCCAGGATGGCACATCAATGCGAGCTGTGGCAAGAAGGTTTGCTGTGTCTGTCAGCGTAGTGTCCAGAGTATGGAGGCGCTACCAGAAGACAGGCCAGTACATCAGGAGATGTGGAGGAGGCCGTAGGAGGGCAACAACCCAGCAGCAGGACCGCTACCTCCGCCTTTGTGCAAGGAGGAACAGGAGGAGCACTGCCAGAGCCCTGCAAAATGACCTCCAGCAAGCCACAAATGTGCATGTGTCTGCTCAAACGGTCAGAAACAGACTCCATGAGGGTGGTATGAGGACCCGACATCCACAGGTGGGGGTTGTGCTTACAGCCCAACACCGTGCAGGACATTTGGCATTTGCCAGAGAACACCAAGATTGGCAAATTCGCCACTGGTGCCCTGTGCTCTTCACAGATGAAAGCAGGTTCACACTGAGCACATGTGACAGATGTGACAGAGTCTGGAGATGCCGTGGAGAACGTTCTGCTGCCTGCAACATCCTCCAGAATGACCGGTTTGGCAGTGGGTCAGAATGGTGTGGGGTGGCATTTCTTTGGGGGGCCGCACAGCCCTCCATGTGCTCGCCTGACTGCCATGAGGTACCGAGATGAGATCCTCAGACCCCTTCTAAGAACATATGCTGGTGTAGTTGGCCCTGGGTTCTTCCTAATGAAAGACAATGCTAGACCTCAAGTGGCTGGAGTGTGTCAGCAGTTCCTGCAAGATGAAGGCATTGATGCTATGGACTGGCCCGCCCGTTCCCCAGACCTGAATCCAATTGAGCACATCTGGGGCATCATGTCTCGCTCCATCCACCAATGTCACGTTGCACCACAGACTGTCCAGGAGTTGGCAGATGCTTTAGTCCAGGTATGGGAGGAGATCCCTCAGGAGACCACGCGCCACCTCATCACGAGCATGCACAGGCGTTGTAGGGAGGTCATACAGGCACGTGGAGGCCATACACACTACTGAGCCTCATTTTGACTTGTTTAAAGGACATTACATCAAAGTTGGATCAGCCTGTAGTGTGTTTTTGAACTTTAATTTTGAGTGTGACTCCAAATCCAGACCTCCATGGGTTGAAAAATTTGATTTCCATTTTTTAATTTTTGTGTGATTTTGTTGTCAGCACATTCAACTATGTAAAGAACAAAGTATTTCAGAAGAATGTTTAATTCATTCAGATCTAGGATGTGTTATTTTTTTGAGCAGTGTATAGTTTTAAAGTTTATTAGATTTGTTGAATGTCCTTCACTATTATTATGGGGAGGGAGGTAGGTGGGATTTTTTTAATGGTGGCGTGTGTAGAGGCTTTGGGACCTTTGTGTTAAAAAACTAGTAGTCCCTGTCTGCCACTTTTAGGTGGAGACTGGGGGATACATTAGGTACCATCCAGTATTTTAAAACTAATATCAAGTGAGAGCATGGCATGTAGTGACATAAAGGAAGTGAAAAACATACCTTTTACTATAATGATCATATTGAACCCCCTCGGGGGTTTTTAAAAACACTTTTTTAATGAAGTGACTGGTTAACAAGGGCTGGCCAGTTGCCACACGATTAATCTTTGTGCTGCTGAGGGCTTTTTAGACTTATTTGCCTGTTGGCTACTAGAATTGCAGAGAGTAAATAGTACTTACAATTATTGTTCATTTGTAAAAAGCAATATGCTGCGAGGCACCACCAAGTTTCTGGGATTGTATACAGAAACATCTGCACAGAATATGGGCTGGAACTGCCTAAATCCAAATGGGAGATACCACAAAGGTAGTAAACCATAACATCAAGAAGAAGGAACATGAGAAGGTGGGCAAATACTAAGGGCTCAAAGAGGAGTGAGACAGGATGTAGAAAGTGAAGACAGTAGTAGTCCCAGTTGTGAAAGGAGCACTTAAGGCTATAACCCCCAAGTTGAGAGAGTGGCTTCAACAGATTCCATGTGGGACATCTGATATCTGTGTTCAAAAGAGTGCAATTCTAGACAGGGTTGCCATCAAAAATGTTGGGTCCCTTACACAGCTCCAGGCCCGGGCCCCTTGGACTTGCCCCAACTCCACCCACAGGCCCCTCCCTTAAGTCTACCCATAGGACCCACCCCTCCCCCCATTCCTCCAACTCTGTCACATCAGGAAGAGGGAGCAGAGCTATGGGTCAAGGGGAAAAGGACAAGAGTGATTCAGAACCCAATATTGGGAAGGACACTGGAAGATTAATTGCAGTGTGGTATT